TGAATCTCAAACAAACATTTATATCACACTCAAAACAGCAATAAAATTTCCAATCCAAACATTACCTTCTTTATGAATGAAAATAACTCATCCTTTTCCCATAACTTCTATAAACTGAGTATTATCTTAAATAAATCTTCTTCAATTGCAAAGATATCAAACAGTTTTACAAAATAAAAATAAGTAAATAAACAGACAACGTTTAAAAGAAAACCCACCAACAGAAAGGCAATTGCTTTTCCTTCTCATTTTCCCAGCAACCAAACAGAAAGTCAAAACAAAAAATTTCAACTAAAGAACTCACCTTTTGGGTGTAAACCATGATGGTATTAAAATTGATAATGAGATTGAATTCCTTTCCATCTCTGTCACTGCCGATGGTTTTGGGTCCACTGAAGCAGAAACCTTAGTATTTGGTGAATAATAATAAAACTAGTATCCTAAAGTGAATAATAATAAAACTAGCATACGTAGGAATCGAAAGGACCAAACCAATCGAAACGAAGACTGGACGTATACGTTCACGGAGTTCCGCAGAGGACCTGCAATGTGGAAGAGTTATGGTCTTATGAGGCGCGTAGAACACAAAAAATCGAATTTGGGATTTAGGGTTAATAATTTAAAGAAAAAGTGGAAATCGAGACCTTCTAGAATTGAAAGTGGCAAAATGGTTCAGAGAATTTTTTTTTTTTTTAACAACATTACGATGTCATTATGATTAAGTACATGTTTGAGATTGCTTAAAATACTGTGGTCGTGAGTTTTTAATATTTTATTATAAAAAGTTATATTAATATTTGATAATTATTTTTAAAAAGTTTAAACTAATTTAATTATTATAAATTAACATTTTATAAAGTGTTGTAAGAAAAAGTATTATGAGAAAGCAATATAACCTGTGATGTTAGCTGTATTTACTTATTTATAATAATCTGTAATGATAGCTAAAAATCATATAAATCTCTTAAAAGGGTTAGGAAGTTCATTAATAGTCACATTATATGGGTCTCAACTTTATCACATGCATCATGCACCTATTACATTAATTGTCTGCATCTTAGTTTTTCCTTCTTTCTATAATTAAAATGAAATAAATAATAATACAAAAATATATTGTGTAATTTTTTTTGAACAAATTATAATCAAATTTATCATACTAAAGGGGAATGAGGAAGGGGATCACCAGAACTTGAACTTTCAACTCAAGAGGTGTTTCCATAAATAAACCACTTGACCTATGTATGAGAAACTATATCTAAAGATATATTAAAGCAAAACCGAAAAAACCTCTTTCTGTTCACACCATGTGTTCACACTTATTCACACCTATTCACACTTAAAAACTATATAACTTTTACTTTTGAACTCTTGAACTGGATTAGAACTGGATTAAAACCAGTTCAAATACTCCTTTTCACACTATATATCAAATTTAAAAATAGAAGTAAAATTATTATTATACTCTTAATAATTAATGTTATATTTTT